TTTAACAAAACCGTGTTTTGTTTATCTTTTTTAAAATTCAGGTTAAATTGTGCATTCATTGTTCTCATGTAAAACAAGCTGATTCTCAAGAATGCCTGTTTGTTTTTCCCTTTTTTAGTTGACATTTATGACTGAGCTTATTGGTTTACTAAGCTAAAAATAAAGACGGCATATATCTAAAAAGAAAGTTTTCCCTCACATTTTGTGCTTGCTCCTCTTTAATTATATAGAAACAGACACTCATCACTGCCTGTAAAATGATCCAGAGACTGCATGTTTCTAAACATGTATGAATCTGTGTTTATGTTTAAATGTCATTAAATAAAGCAAATGATTTCATTATTAACGGTGAACTTTTCTTGTAAATGTAATAATTTTAGCTGAATGTAAGCGCACAGATACATTAGGCATGACCAGCATCTTAGAAGGTTAAAGCAGCTTACAGTTCTCCAAACTTTAGATAAATAAATGACTATATTATTATAGCCAGGCTGCGGTGTCACTTGTCGTATTAATTGCTCTTCTTTAACGAGTTGGCTGTAGGCCACAAACATTTAGTTAAACAGTATAAATCTAATGCTGAATATCACATTACATGTATCGCCGGTCAGCAGGGCTAATTACATAATAATCAAGCAAGTCAGGAGTTAAACAGGAGAAACATTTACCCATGATGCTGTAATCCTGCAAACTCCCCCACATGCTTCCTTATTTATGATCTTAAATGTGCCCCAGGGGGCCATTACAGAGCGACATGGACGACCGCAGTCCACTCCCAGGAGAGGGACTCTGAAGCTGCATGGGGCCTTGGAATAAAGCAAAGTCCTTTTGTATTCAGAGGTGTTGAGGTTTTTGAAACTGGTTGGGAGTCGGTTTGTCCCATAAGAGAGGATAAGTGGTATCAGTCCAGGGAGGTGATGGACCACCAGGAATCATTCATTCCTTTCATGCATTTCTGATGGAAACAGGTGTGTTACATTCATGGTGCTCTGCCTCTGATCTCTTCATCAATCATAACAGCAGCAGCACCAATTCATTGTGTGTGACCCAGTTATCCACACGCTGAGGAAACTTTGAGCTGAAATACAACTAATTATCAGAATGTATTCCTTCCTTTAAAGTGACAGAATATATTATTGATACAATGATATTATTTTTTCGTCTTCTACACAGACTGATTTTTATTTCCGTCAGCCTTTTTTTTTTTTTTTAAAAAACAAAATTATTTAAGAAAAAAGAAATAAACAAACATACACCCACTTCTATGCTAGAACTATTTATGTACTCAAACCCAAACCTCACCAACTGAATGGTGTAATTTATGATTGATTAACATTAAGGTGATTGTGCAATAATTTGGCTGTGGGTTATCTGGGTTATCTTAGCTGAGAATTAAAAACAATATTTAATCATTACTTAAGGTTGTTTTTTTTTTGTAATCTGACTTGTTTTTATAACCATAATATCAAAAAGAAATAATTTATGCTAAGAAAACATTCCCAAAACTGGCTTTTAGGTAAAATAAGAGATTAGAAGCCAGATAAATGACTAGTGGTAAATAAATAATAGATTGTTGTGCTTGCTCAGGTAGTTGGATCTAACAATGTCCATATAGAGTCTTAATTCGACCATCTAGGTTGACCGAAAACCAGTGGGCCAAACAAAAAAGATATGTATCCGAAATATGCATCGACAGCTTTAGCTTAACTGCAATCTCTCAGTTTGACTTTCCAAACTAAAATGATTTTGGACCAACAGCAAAGCATCAATAATGGACAGACTTTTAAGGTTCAATGAAGATGATCCAAGAGCAGAAAATGATTGAAACAATCTGTAGTAATTCCTGTTATATTTACCTAAGTAAGATGTTTGACAAAAGGAGTAGCTTAAGTGCACCATAATATCTTAATAAAATACTATTAGTAGTAAATACTGTGAGTGGAGGTTTTGGTTTCATAAACTTTATGTTAAAAAAAGAAAACTGTTGCAGAGAATTTTTCCTTTTTTTCCTCAATTACATTCTCTGTTCTGTTTGTTAAACATGTTCTTTCACGGTAAATACCACAGCGTTAAATATGTAGTGTCAAAGTACATTGCCTCTTTTAGAGTTATTACATCAACTGGAGTAAGATACACACTATGTAGAGAGTTAATTTTAACAGTAAATCAGAGTGGGACCAAATGCACTAAGATTAGTGTTAAATCTAACTCTTAAAGTATTACTTTAAAACAAAAAACAAAAAATGTACAGTGTTAATAGTCTTTAAAATACAGTAATGAAAACAGTTTGCTCATCACTTTTTGGTTGTCTTTACTTTATAATTTAAATTATTAGTTGTTATGATTGATTACTCAGCAGGGCCTATTTGAGTAACCTTTTTACCAAATACGTTTTACTTTAATAATTTACTAAAAGGTTATTTTTACTCTTACCTTAGTAAAAAATATGAGAAAATGGTGTTACTCTTACTTGTGTACAATTTTTGAGTACTCCTCCCACCTCTGTCTAGGAGGCATTGATATAAGAGAGTGCAGGACACAGAGTGGAACATTGAAAACCTTTCAATGTCAGCGTCAGAATTTTCTATGTTCACCACGTCTACTAACACAAACAAGGGATTAGACTTTGGTTCCACTTTGAAAAACACTTTTTAAAAAGGACTTTTTTTTCCGTAAATATCTTCATACTTTTTTTATTTTTCTATTTTTTCATGAATAAAAGGCTGAATTTAAAACCATGTACTTAACATCAATTTAAAAAGATGTGTCACTAAATCTGTTTTGAGACACATGCAGCCATGAAGCTAAAGACACCATCTCATCTATGGGCACAGGCAAGGCCAAAATAAAGATAATCATGGTTTTACTTTATTTTTTTAATGCAGATTAAAAATGAAAGCTGCAGTCCACTCTTTTTTGTTAACCAAGGTGTGAACTGTAGTTTATTAGATAATATGAGGCCACTGTAGAGCCTCCTCCTCCATCAGGCTCCCCCGCCTGCAGCTCTGTAGGTTTCACAGTGGAAACAGGCCGCTTAAATCAACCAGGGCAGCATGCAGCACTGAGAGGGCTGCACTCCTGTACATTAGTGAAAGCTCCTCTAATGATAGATAG